AGTATGAAACGTGAGTAGAGTATGAAACGTGAGTAGAGTATGAAACGGCCTCACTTAGACTGTCTAACCTACTACACACAGCCAGTACCTACTATTCTTTCAAAGGAAGAAGAAGTACAATGTACTTGCTTTGTGTCAGCATTGGAAAGAATTGAGCAAGGAGAGCAATATGACTTCGTGCTCCATGTCCCACAGCTGGGAGAGGCAAGAAATAAGGAGTTCTTATCACTGCACCAGGATGAAAGAAAGAGACAATCAAAAGGGGAGAGTCCAGATAAATTGTATTTGGATCCTGTCAAATCCAGGAGAGCATAGGTAGGGGTGTTTCAATAAATAACTTCTGGTTCCCTGTTGAAATGTTTGGAGCCATATGGATTGGAAACATGGTCCAAGACAGGAAGTGATGGTTAGTAAGCAACAGTCTTCCCCCGTTCTGTATTTACACAAAGCCAAATCTCTCCTCTGCTTGTATAACCCTGTTTACAATTTTTATCCACGTGTACGGTTTTGCTGCCATTCAAATCCCAAGCCAGTTTCTGCTATATCGATTCTTTTCCTGCACTTAGCCATTTCAGACCCTTCTCTGCTGTCAGTTCATCTCCATGTCACTTAGATTCAATTTTGTGGAAAATGAAAGAATTTAAAAAATTGCCTCCTTCATATCATCACAATAATTATATGAATTATGCTGTCATAGGTAATGAATTTGTTCCCTTCCCTGCATTTTCTTCCAGAATGTATATTTAGTTACAATCAAAGTCCTTGTCATTCATAAGTTCAGTATGGATGATATCACTTTACCCCATCATATGTCACCAACATTGGGATAGCAAGAGGCCTTTTAATGAGATTGTAGTTGACCTGTTTCCTCGATTCACATGCTTGTCTTTGCTCAATACTTTAATGCTTTGGCTAACAAAAATCCTAATTGGTTTAAAATTGCAATTAGTCTAGCATCAGCTCTCATTTTGAAAGGAATTCCAAGCTTTTGCTATTCACATGAAGTGCTTCCAAAATTCTGAAAGGTTTGGCTCTATCCTGCACTACCTCCAAGGCCAATGTATCCTTCCTAAAATTGTACCCAGAACTGTTCGCAGTAACTCTAGATGTGGTGTAACCAAGGTTTTGTAAAACTAAAGTATGTTCTCTAATCTTTTGTATTCTGGATTCTAAATATGAAGACCAGCATTCTAATAGCCATTTTCATTATTTTCTGTCCCTGTCGTTTAATATCTGTGCAACTGAATGTCCAAGTGTCTTTAGAACTTGACTGTTTTTATCTTTTTTCTTCTTAGAAAGTACTCGGCTTGCTCCTTTAAGATCATAATAAATGACCTCACTTTACTGTCATTGAAATCCATTTGTTGCAGTTTGTCCATTAATTCAACTTATCGATAACTTTTAATCACTTTATCCTTTCATCTACGTTGGTTACATTGCTGCCTATCTTTGTAATTGATAAATTTGCATATATGGTTTTCTGTCCACGTATCTCAGTCACTAATGGATAGTATATTGTTGAGACACCAATATTGATACTTGTGGGACATGATCTATTCATTTTCCTGACTCATCTGTCTCCTGATTCCTAACAAGGACAATAATTTGCCTTCAATTCCAAGAGCTTCCACTTTAGCTAGCATTTTTCTCAGAGGAACTTTTTTTACTATATGCCTACTACTTGTATGCCTGTATAAGTTTAGCATTCATTTTGAGAGTGAGAAACTTGGCTTGAAAACAACTGTGCCTAAACGTAAATAAGGATAATTACATAGGGATGAGGGCAGACTTGGCTGGATGCACAGGGAAGGAGTTTAACAGCAAAGATTGTTCCTCAACAATGTCGGATGTTTAAGAAAAGTGTTTGTGACTCGCAACAAAGATGTATCCCAGTCAGGAAAATGGATTCTAAGAAGGCGGTTAACCATGGTTAACCAAGGATGTTAAGGATTGTTTTTATTCCTTTCCGCTTTAAACTATGTGGCAAAGATTTGTGATAAACCGGATTATTGGGAAAGTTGTAAAAGCCAACAAAGATGACCAAAAAAAGGAGAAAAGAAACTTTTAGGGTAAACTCGCAAGTAACGAAGAAACCGACAGTGAGAGCATCTTTAAGTATATAGAAAGGGCGAGAGAGGCTAACGTGAACATTGGCGTCCTAAAGAATGAGGCTGTGGAAGGAATTATGGGGAACCAGGAAATGACAGAGGAATCAAATAAATACTTTGCATCAGTCTTCACAGTAGAGCACACTGATACAATGAGGGAGCAAAAGTTGGAAGGAAATGAATGCAATAATTACCTCTAGAGAGAAAGGTACTAGGGAACTAATAGGTCTAAAGGCTGATAAATCCCCAGGACCAGATGTTTGGCATCCTAGGATATTCAAAGTAGTAGTTACTCAGATAGTGGATTCACTGGTAGGAATCTTCCAGGAATCTTCCAAGAATCCTTAGATTGGCAGTTTTCCAATCCCCTAGGACATTACTACAATGTAACGCCCTACTTAAAAGAGGAAGGGACACAAATATCAGGTAACCATAGATCAGTTAGCTTAACATCTGTCATTGAGAAAATATTAGACTGTATTATGAAGGAATAGCAGAGCATTTAGAAATACATGATATAATCAAGAAGCCATGAGGTGTCTATGTGAAGAGGAAATCATTTGATAAATTGATTAGAAATTCTTTGAGGGATTAACATGCAGAATAGATAAAAGGGAACCAGAACATGTAATAAATTTAGATTTTCAAAAGATATTTGATAAGGTACTGCACATAGGGCTACTTAATAAGAGCCCATGGTGATGGGGACACTGTATTAGCATGCATTGAGGACTGGCTAGCTAATAGAAGACAGAGTTGGGATAAGGGGGAGTTTTCAGGGTGGCACCTGTAGCTAATGGTGTGCCACAGGGATCAGTGCTGGGGCCACAATTATTTACAATAAATACTAGTGACTTAGATAAGGGAGATGAATGTACTATTGCCAGGTTTGCAGATACGTAATAATAAGTGTAAAGCAAGTAGTGAGGATGCTAGAGAGTCTACAGAAGAATATTGATAGGAAGTGAGTGGACAAAATCTTGTCAGATGTAACATAATGTAGTATTTGGCAAGAAGAATAGAAGCGCTGAATATTATTTAAATGGAGATAGACTGCAGAAAAATGTAGGACAGAAGGAGTTCCTTGTGCATGAATCACAAAAGAACTAGCATCCAAGTTCAGCAGTCATAAGGAAGGCAAATAGACTATTGGCATTTATTTCAAAGAGGATGAAGTACAAAAATATAGAACTTCTCCAAAAGCTATGCACGGCACTAGTTAGGCTTCACCTAGAATACTGTGAACGGTTTTGATTCCCTTATCAAAAGAAAAATATACTGATATTGAGACAATCCAGAGAGCCCAGTCCACGTTTTCTTAGGAGAAGTCATTGAGTATGTTTGACCGTATTCATTGAAGTTTTAAAGAATGAGAGGACACCTTCTGAGCCATATAAGATTCTCCGGGAGCTTGACATGCTCAAAAGGTTGTATCCCCTTCTGGGAGAGATGAGGGCCAGAGGACATACGCTCAGATTAAAGGTTGCCCATTTAAGACAAAGATGATGATTTGATTTGATTTGATTTGATTTAGTATTGAAATAAGTACTGAGATACATTGTATATTGTTTTGTGTACTATCCAGATAATTCATACTTTATGTAAGTAGATCAAAGTAATAGAACAGAATGCGTAATATAATGTTACAGCTACAGAGAAGGTGCAGAGAAGGATCAACACTAATATATGAAAGGTCCATTCATAAGTCTGATAACAGCGGGGAAGAAGCTGTTCCTGAATCTGTTGGTATGTGTTTTCAAAATTTTGTATCTTCTGTTCAATGGAAGAGGGTGGAAGAGAGTATAACTGGGGTGGGAGGGGTCTTCAATCATGTGGTTGCTTTTCTGAGGAAGTGGGAAGTGTAGGTAGAATCAGTGGAAGGAAGGCTGGTTTTTATGATGGATTGGGCTGTGTTCACAACTCTCTGTGGTTTCTTGTGGTCTCGGGCAGAGCAATTGCCATATCTAGATAGGATGCTTTCTATGGTGCATCTATAAATTTGGTCAGAGTCATTGTGGATATGCCGAATTTCCTTACCCTTCTGGGGAAATAGAGGTGTTGGTGTATTTTGTTTATTGTAGCTTTGATGTGGATGGACCAGGACAGATTGTTGGTGACATTTACTACTAGAAACTTGAAGCTCTTGACCACCTCCACCTCAGCACCGTTTATACAGACAAGGTTGTGTCCTCCACTCTGCTTCCTAAAGTTGATGACCAGCTCCTTCATTTTGCTGACGCCTGAGGGAGAGATTGCTGTCTTTACACCATGCCACTAAACTCTCTATGTCTTTCCTGTACTCTGTCTCATTGTCATTTGAATTCTGAACTATTATGGTGGTGTCATCAAATTTGTAAATGGAGTTAGAGCTGAATTTGCCCCACAGTCATGTTTGTATAAGCAGTATAATAAGGGACTGAGTGCACAGTCTTGCAGGGCACCTATGTTGAGGATTATTGTGGAGGAGGTGTTATTGCCTATTCTTAGCGATTGTTCCCTGCTGTGCAATTGGATCCTTGAATTTCTGACCCACAGCTTGCCGACTCCTAGGTCTTGGAGTTTACAGATGAGTTTGGTTGGAATTATAGAGTTGAAGGCAGAGCAAAAGTCAATAAGTAGGAGTCTGATATAGTTGAGGGTAGTGAATCCGTGGACTTCTTTATTACAAAGAGCTGATGAGATGAATGGCCTACTTCTGCTCTTGCGTCTTGTGGTGTCAATAACATTCGTAGACATTCATGGCTACCAATTTTGTTATGCCTTTAAAAAAATTCATTCAGTTTTGTCAGGCACAATCTGTCCTTTACAAATCCATTTCTCTAATCAGCGAAAATGATCATCTAGTTCAACAGTCCTATCCTGAACTGTAGATTCTAGAAATTTTCTTACACAAATGTTAGGCAAACTCATCTATCATAGACTGGTTTGTCACTCAAATCAAGTGTTCCCCATTCCTTGTTCCCTTTCATACATGTTGCTTCGTGAAAATATCCTCCTATGGACATGGGTTTGATTTTTAGAACACACATAGATCAAATTTTAAATCCTCACCCTTGTTTTATGGGTGTTTCTGCCCATTTCACTCCTCATTCCTGTAACTCAACCCCGCAATCCCCTTTAGGTACTCTTATTGCCTTATGTGCATCGTTTACTTTCCAGCATTGGCATCAGTATTCATAGTCTAGGTTCCACATTCTAGAAATTGTTCCCTAAATCTCTCCATTCATCTTCAAGAGCTTCCATAAAAACCAACTCCTTGTTCAGACAGATAGTTGTCCCTGCTAATAACACCTTTGTCTTGATTCCCATTTTTTGATGAGAGATTTTTTTTAAACATAAAATTACATGTTATGACTGTGTATTGATTTGAACTACACTTGGAAAGATTTAGCACAGGAGGAGGCCATTCAGCCTCTTGGGTCTGCTGTGCCATTGACTGGCTTAAGTATAATTGTGTTTAATAGATTTGGGGTGATTTCATAGACTAAGTTTAAAATAATCATTTAATAGTACAGATCTTGCATATTGCTGAACAAAGACACATTTGGTGGAAGCTTTTTGTCTTGCACTTATCAGGGTAGTTTGCAAGCATACCAAAATGAGGCAAAAACCCCTATTTATACTGTATTAGAGGAGAGTGCTGAATTTGGCAAGTGGACTCCAGTAGAGGCAATGCCATGATGATTGTTGGTTAAATTCCAGACTTTGTTTAAAATTTAAATAAGACATTGATTCTGAATGTTCAAGGCATTAGTGTATTCTTTCCCAGGTCAGTGCTTCTACCAGTTGGAATCCATTTGCCAACCAAGCAGCAGTCTCCTCTCACACAGTATAAATATTGGTTTTCTCCTTGAGTTGATGATCTTGCAATTGTCCTGATGAGTGCAAGGCTGAAAAGCTTCAACAAAATGTCTTTTTTCAGCAATACTCATGTTTAATATATTTAGAGGATAGAAAAATGTAGTAGAAACAGACTACTGATTTTAAATTGTTGGAGATTTAAGATAAAATACGAGAAATTTAGAAAAATAATAACATTTTTTCTGCTTGCACAAAAGGTAGTGAGGCTGGAATGCATAACTGGAACAACTGTTTGAAGCAAACGTAAGGATCAGCATTAAGAACTTGGAGAGGTTCCACTTGCAAAGTTAAATCAAGGAATATGAATACATGGATAAGGATGTTCTATGTGTAATAACTAAATGCAAACATAGACTCATTGATTTAATCAAACAGCCTATTCCATGTTGTTGTTTCTTAATATTGTGTATGTAAATGATTTTGTTTCCACTTTACAGACAGTTCCAGTTCTAGAAGCCCGTGCATGTGCTGCGGCTGGACAGAGTGGCTTGATGGCCTTGTATGAAGCAATGTTCACACAGTACAGCATTTGTGCTGCTCAGGTCTGTCACTGATTTGTCCCCAAATTTCCTGAAATTATTCTTGTGTTATAACTGTTGGGCCACTCTTCAGTGGTTTGTACATTTGTATTTCAATAACTTGTGCATTTTGGATTTGTTTCTGTAAACGACTGAGTTTGAATATGAAAAACTGAAATCAACATTATGCTTTGCTGTTCGTTCCCAGATTCTTGTAACAAACTTGGATTTCCATGATGAGCAAAAGCGACGAAACTTGAGCAGCACACTTCACGAGCTTCTCCGAATGAATATCGTTCCAATTATCAATACTAATGATGCTGTTGTTCCCCCTCCTGAACCAAACAGTGACTTGCAGGGGGTAGGTGCATGACAGAATCCTGAGCATCTAACTGGAATAGTTTAAGGTGGCAACTTTGATTAAAACAAGAATAATTGTTTCCATTTATATTGATTCTTTGACAAAGTAAAATGTCCCAAGGAACTGTACTTTTTCATCAAGAAAGATTAGAAACATGATCAAAAGCTTGACCAAAGACACATTGACATGATCCCAGCTGATGTCAGTCTTGGACAACTCAAATTCCAGACTTAAACCTGGCTTGATGGATAATTCTGTGATTTTTGTTTTGGTTTTAATGAAGTGTTTTGCTGAAATACAAGTACGTAATGCTGCAGATTTTGCTTAAGTAATAAAATAGGAGTTTATGAACAAATGAAACAAAGAAAAATATAGAAAAAAAAAATGAAGCTATCGACCTATGGTGCTAATTCAAACATTCTTAAATTCACAGTAAAAGTATAATTGTATTAATCCCAAAACACTCCTTTATAAATTGAAAAGAAAAAAACTAAAAGAATTACAGAAGTCCTTTGGTGCTGAAGATGGCTGTTTGGCCCATCACGTCTATACCATTCTCCAAATGTGTATCATTAGCTAGTGCCACTCTCCTGGTTTTTCCCCGATACAGATGAACATTATTTCTATCTATGTAATCGTTGAATGCTCTCTTCAGTGTCTCAGTTGAACCTGCTGCCACCACACTTCTAGGCAGTGCATACTACATGCTGTGTGAAAAGGATTTTTTTTGCATCACATTTGCTTCTTTTGCAAATCTCTTTGAATGTGTGCCCTCTAATTTGTGTTTCTTTTTTTAGCTGGAACAATTACTGTCTATCCACTCTTTCCAATCTTCTTATGATTTTGAAAACCTCTGCCAGATTCCTCTTAGCTGCCTTCTCTCCAAAGAGGACAGTTCCCAATTTTTCATATGTCTTCAGAAGTGAAGTACTTCATCCTCATCATTCTTACAAATTGCTCCTGCACTGTCTCTAAAGCAGTCACGTCCTTTCTATAATGTGGCACCCGCAACTGTGCACAACATTCCAGCTGAGATCGAACAAGTATCTTTAAAAGTTCAACATCTCTTCCTCACTCTTGTACCCTATGTCTGTATTTGTAAAAGTGTCATTCTGTAGTTGGTTTTAATGACTTCTCTCTCTACCTGTCCTGCCAACTTCAGCGATCTGTGCACCTACACACTCCGATCCCTCTGCTTCTACACCTTCTTTAGACTTCTACCTTTATTTTATATTGTCTTTCACTGTTGTTCCTCCCAAAATGCATCACACCACACTTCTCTGCATTGAGTCTCATCTGCTATCTTCCTGCCTACTTCACCAACTTGTCTGTGTTGTCTGGAATTCTGTACTGTACCCCTCTCAGCTTTCAATTCTTCCAAGTTCCATGTCATTTGCAAACTTTGAAATTGTCCCCTGCACCAAGGTCTAGAGCAATAATATATATCAGGAAAGCAAGGATCCCAATACCAATCCTTGGGGAGCTCCAATGCAAACCTTGCTGCAGCCCAAAAAATATCTTGATCGTTGCTCTCTATTTCCTATCACTCGACCAATTTTGTAGCCATGTTGCTACTGTCCGTTTTATTCCATGGCCTATAACGTTCCTCACAAGGTTGCAGTGTTGTGCTGTAGGAAATTCCTTCTAAAAGTCCCATGGCACATCAACAGCATTATCCCCATCGAGCTTTTCAGTTACCTCTTCAAAAAACTGCAACAGTTTAAACAAGCACAGATTCCCGTTCAGAAATTCATGCTGACTGTCCCTAATCAACCTGCCTTTTTCCATGTGACGACTAATTCTATCCTGAATAATTCTGTATAGAAGCTTCCCTACGCCTGAAGTTAAACTGACCGGTCTGTAATTCCTGGGTTTGTCCTTACAACCTTTCTTCAACGAGGCTATATTGTTTGCAATTCTCCAGTCTTCTAGCACCTCCCTGAATCGAGTGGAAACATCTTCTCCAAGTCCACTCTATCCAGGCCCCTCTCTAAGCTTCAATCAGGTTCCCGGTCATCATTCTAAACTCTGAGTACACAGCCGGAGTCCTTAACCACTCCTCATGCAACAAGCCCTTCATCCCTTGATCATTTTTGTAAGCCTCTTCTGAACCCCTTCCGATGCCAGTACGTCATTCCTTTTGATATGGGACTCAAAGCTGCTCACAGTATTCCAGATACAGTCTGACCATAGCATTATACAGCCTTAGCTGTACATCTCTGCCACTTGTATTCTAGCCCTCTTGAAATGAATTCTAATATTACATTTCCTTTCCTAACTGCACACTGAACCTGCATAACCTCAAGGAGAATCCTGAACTAGGATTACCAAGTCCCCTTGTGCTTCAGATTTCCAAAGCCTTTCCCCATTTAGAAAATAGTCTATGCTTTTATTCTTCCTACTAAGGTGACAGTTGGCCACATTGTATTCCATTTGCCATTTCTTTGCTCACTCTCCTGGCCTGCCCAAAGCCTTCTGCAGCCTCCCGCTTCCTTGACACTACCTGTACCTCCACTTATCTTTGTGTCATCTGCAAACTTAGTGACAATGATGTTTCTTCATTTAGGTCATTGTATAAAGTGAATAGTTGCAATCCCAGCACAGACCCTTGTGAAACTCCACTAGTCACCGGCTGCCATCCTGAAAAAGGCCCCTGTATCCCCACTCTCTGCCTTCTGTCAATCAGCCAAATCCTCTACAAATGCCAGTACCTCGCCCCTAACACCATAGGTCCTAATCTTGCTTAGTAGCCTTCTGTGCGACCCCTTGTCAAGGCCTTCTGGAAATCCAAATATATTTCCAGCTGCTTCAAACTGTTAATTGTCAAGCTGGTCGTTTGTTCACCACATTAGCAAAAAAGTATCCAGTGAGACGAAGAGATTATTGCAGCAAATGTACTTAATTTGTTCAGCTTATTCCCTTTTAACTGGTTGTTGTTTCTTTTTGTTACCAGTCTAAGTCTATTCTGCGTTACCAGTACAAGTCTATTCTGGGCTCTGCTACTACATCTACATGAAGTAGCATTGGCTATCCTCCTCAGTACGGCTGTGTCAGTCTTGTGAAGTGTGTGAAAAGCGCTAGATATAGAAGAAAGTTAATTTTGTCCCTTTTGAGTGGAAACTCATCCTGGCAACAAGGTGCCACCAACCAGCCTACAATTGCTGAGGTTTGGTAATTGTACACAAAGTTAGCTGTTATTAATATTGTACATCTCCAAGAAAGGAACCATTAGGCAAGGCTAGAGAGGTACCATTTATCCAATATAGGAAGAGGCTACCACATGTCAATATCCTAATGGTAAGAAAAGCTCACCCTCAAGTTTAACGACATCCTCCCTATAGAAGGCAACCAGAATTGTACTCAGTATTCCAAAAGTGGCCTCAGCAATGTTCTGTATAGCCGCAACATGACATCCCAATTTCTATTCTCAATGTTCTAACTAAAGGAGGCAAGCATGTCAGACACCTCCCTCATCACCCTGTCTACCTGTGACTTCACCTTCAAGGAACTATGCATTTGCACACCTAGGTCTCTTTGTTTTACAACGCTCCCCCAGGCCCTACCATTATCTGTATAAGTCCTGCCCTGGGTTGCATTAACAAAATGCAACATTTCACATTTATCTAATTTAAACTCCTTCTGCCACTCCTGGGCCCATCTGATCCAGGTGCCTTTGTACCCTGAGATAATCTTCTTCACTGTCCACTACGCCATCAATTTTGGAAACTTACTTACCATGCCTCCTATATTCACATCCTAATCATTTACATAAATGATGAAAAGCAGTGGACCCAGCACTGATCCTTATGACATGCCACTGGTCATACGTCTCCAGGCAAAAAAACAACTCTGCACCACCACCCTCTGTCTCATACCTAAAGCCAATTTTGTTCCAATTAAGTTTCTCTTCATGCTTAAGATTGATTGATTGATTGTGTGCAGTTCAGCTTGGTTTATTTTATAGAGGATGTTCTTCATTCTGGGTTTTGTATTCCAGCAGGTAATCAGTATCAAGGACAATGACAGTTTGGCAGCAAGACTTGCAGTGGAGATGAGAGCAGACATGCTGATTGTCCTTTCTGATGTGGAAGGTGGGTGAGAGCTCTGACAAAACCATCAGCCTAGCATTCTTTTTGTGGTCTGTGTAGCCTGTCAGAAATACCACTCTTGGACATTGCCAATGGGCTCAGTAATTACAGCAGACAAGCACTGGACTAAGTGGGCCAGTAAGTTCACAAACAGTATTGAATTAGCCAATTAGGAAGTGACTTTAAAGAGGTCCTTCACTTACAACAGACAGGATTGGAAAAAGACTGTATCTGGTGGTTAAAGAGTTCAGAAGAAAGTATATACATGAGATTACTGTAAAATATTTCAAACAAAGGACAGGAAAAGTCACATTCAGAGTTGTAAATCAATTGAAGACTTTTCCCCTGGCCTCTACTCTACCTTGCCTTCAAGTGATCTTGTGTCAATAGCCCCTAATTGCAGCCCCCTTAACCCCTGGTAACAATTTAGATGACATCTGCCCCCTCATTTAAAAAAATGCCATGCCACTATTTTGAAGAGCCAGGCATGTAAATGTTTGTTATCCTAGTGAATTTTTGAAATTTGGATTCAATTTAATAAATCTGGAATTTTTTTTTTAAGAAGTGCCTGTCTAATGGCAATTTCAATTGTTGTAAAAACTCATTTGGTTCACTAATGTCCTTTTTGGGAAGGAAATCTGTCATCCTTATCTGGCCTGGCTTACATGTGACTCTAGACAACAGTGTGGGATGTGTAATACATTAGTGACCCAAATAACAATACTATCATCCCATGAATGAATTAACAAACTCAAACAGTAACGACACATCAAAAATACTTAATTGGATGTAAAATGGTTTGGTAATCCAGTGGCAGGCATTACATAAATGCAATCTTTCATTTAGTAATCTCCTGTGTGACTCAGTGAAAGGCTGAATTTAATTTAGTGAACTAAGCCTTTCCAATTTTTTTGACTAGGAAGGGAAGATGAGTCAGGGTTCCTAGTCCCAATGTTATTTATAGATGACTGATTAAATTAGATTGTATATTCTGCTTCTATCCTCCTGTTGTCAAGAAGACTGCCAGAATGGCCCATAAAGATTCACTCTTGAATAACAGCCATAGAGGATGCCAGCTATCGATATGGTAGAAGTGTACCTGCCTAGGGGATAGGGGATGAAATTGATGAGAGCGATTGCCACAGTGATTATTGAGTGATGTGGAGTCTAGTCATCAGGGAGCTGGAAGGGCCATCTTTTTCTTAAGTTGCATTTGAGACTTGCAAATTGCTATAATTGGCATTTTGAAACTCATACAGAGACTGTGGAGTTTAATTGAAATGAAAATGCTGATCTGTTAGACCAATAGAGTCAGGTCAGCAGGGCTGGGTGTTTAAAAATTGTAATTTTATATTATTTAGCAAAGCCTGGGTGTGTCTTGGTCTTTTTATAGCGTGTTTTTAATCTACTGATGTGGTGGTCATGTTTAGTGAGGCAAGAGGTTGATATGGTAACCGTCTGGTATGTTTATTCAAAGGACGGAGATTAGTTACTGTAACGGCAGCTGATAGTTTACTATATAGCACTTGTAAAGTGGCAAAAAGTCCAAGACATTTCAAAGGAGCTGAATTAATAAAATTGACATCTTGCCAGATAAAAATATATTAGCAGTGACCAAAAGGCTTGGTTAGAATTGGACGATTTAAGGAGTGTCTTGAATGGCAGGAGAGAGTTAGAGAGGTTTAAGGAGGAGATTCTAAAGCTTAGGGCCTGAGTAGCTTAAAGGCCCAGTAACTGAGGATGAAGTTAAGAAAATCAGGGATCCAAAGCTGTCACAAATTGGAAAAAAGCAGAAATCACTGGATTGTAGAACAGCAGGAGCCAAGGAGCAGCAAGACTGGAAAAATTTGAAAACTATGATTTTGGATTTTGAATTTTGAAATTTCGCGCTCATCTTCACTCTCTCTTGCGCAATTATTTAGGTTGTGGATCATTTGTTTGTGAATTGTGTTTTGTTTTGAGAAATTAGTAACATGGCTTTTCTTTATTTCAGGTCTTTTTGATAGTCCACCTGGATTGGATGATGCTAAGCTTATTGATACCTTTTATCCTGGAGACCAGAAGTCTGTCACTTTTGGCACAAAATCCAGAGTGGGCCTTGGAGGCATGGAGGCTAAGGTGGGAGAAAGGCTATAATAATTTTTGATTCATATATTTTAAATATCATTTGTTGTAGCTTTGGATTTTTGAGTTTTCCGTGTGTCTGAAGTGAATTAACTTGTAAGTATTTTTGTAGCCATGGTGATGTTATTTAGAATAGTTTTTGTGGCCTAACTTTGAAATTAATGGGTTTTATGTCCACCACTAATGGATTTTTGTTTACCTTCGATTGTTTTGCAACCCAGCATGGTAAGTATTCGGGCTTCAAGGTCTGTTAGAGATTTCTGGATTTTTTTTTCCCCCCCCCCAAGTGTAATGGAAAGACCCATAGCTTAAAGAGAGTTTTTAAAATGTGTTGTTTTGAGTGTTTGGCAGTCCTGTGAAGTCCTTGAATGAAGGTGACTGAATAGACCAGTGCTCCTGAAAAGGGAATGGTGTAGTGAAACAAGCTTACCTTGGAGTAAAGAGTTAGTGTTTGTCCCAGATCAGAAATATTGGGATAAAACCCTGAAGAGGTCAATAAAAGCTGATTACATTTAAGCTCAGATGTATAATAGCTCCAGGAAGAAGCTATCTGTAGCTTCTGTCTGAGTTGAACTCACAAGTGACTTAAACCTACTGAATTTTAGAGATTGGGAATCTGGAGTGAATAGTATACAAATGTCTTTTGGGGTATTCTTCAAGGTTTTTTGTGTACTACATCAAGAGTGTGTTTTGCATACTTTATAAAGCTGTTCTTTTTTAGGGTAAAAAAGTTCTTAATCTCAAAACACTCCTTTATAAAGTAATAACATTGTTGTTACTGTGAGTTTAAAATGCTTTGATTTTGTTACAAGCAGATAATTTGGTTTGTTCTATTTTATCGTCATTTATTTTGTTAATAAACATCTGTTTTATGATTTAAGTAAAATTTCCAGCATTCTGTATTTATATGTCAGCAGAGACACCTTTTTGTTAAAATGAAAACAAAATAATATGTTATCTATCAAGTCGGGTGTTTGCTGGGGTCTGACTAGTCAAGTAATAAAATCACCTTGGATCATAACACAGATAAATGATCCGAATGGAAGCCGGGACATATGATGAACATTCAGTGTTTCAGTTTTTTTCAGTGTTTGTAATGTGCTCAGCATTGCAGCCTGCAATGTGCTGCAATGATATCCAGCAACTTCTTCCTTTTTTGGAGCTGTAGAATTGTTTGTGCTGGGTCTGTGACGAGAGTCTTTGTTCCAGATTCCCTATGTAAGTGTTTTGGGGCTGCCCATGGAGATCCCTTTGATGCAGTCTGAGTGAATTTAGGTGTTCTGGGAAATAGTGGAATCATACACATAGGGGAGGCAATGGCCTAGTGGTATGATTGCTAGACTGTTAATCCAGAGATTCAGATAACGCTCCGGGAACCCAGGTTCGAATCCCACTGTGGCAACTGGTGGAATTTGAATTCAATAAATATCTGGAATTAAGAATCTAATGATGACTGTGAATCCATTTGTCATGTGTTGGGAAAAACCCATCTGGTTCACTAATGTCCTTACCTGGTCTGACCTACATGTGACTCCAGACCCACAGCAATTAGTGATGGGCAATAAATGTTGCCTAGCTAGTGATGTCCTCGTCCCATGAATGAATTTTAAAAAAACTCACTTCATAATGAACTACTATTCTGGAGCACAGATCACAATGACCGGTACAGTGCTGGGAACCGGAGTTCGCAACCAAGCACCCTAGCAGAATCTATAGCGAGATATTTGGAATGCTCTGTTGATTTCAGGTGAATGTTCAGTCTCCTTTTCAGGAGACTCGTGCACATACTATTGTTGGATCTACTCTACAAACAAACTCCTAGCCTGTCATTGCTGTAGATTGAAGTTCAGTATAAGTAGAGGGCAGTTTGTTTGTTGGACAGGATGTGATTGTGAATCTGACTGTTTGTTTCCTAAATCACAAGCTGTGTCTGAAAGCTGAGGGAATGATATTGTAACTTTATCTTTGTTCCTGTGCAGTATGCCTTGATTTGCTCATTGGAACTAGTCTGCAGGCCGAATACTGGATACTGCTCTGTCAGGCTTACTGGTAAAGTAAAATGGATTTATTTTGATCTGGCCCCTGAGGATGTAAAGCATGATAAAGATAGATGTGAGAGTGAATGATAAACAGTCTGGAAGAAATTTAAACAATCCACCTATCCTCTGAAATAACTGATTCCAGCTGGGGTTAGAAGCTGTAATCTGTAACCTGCTTTCACTCAAGTGGTTTATAGATTCACCCTAAAGTACAGTACTCATTATACATCATGTGACGTTTGTGTGTAATAGGTGAAAGCAGCACTTTGGGCTCTCCAAGGAGGAACGTCTGTGGTCATAGCAAGTGGGACCCATCCAAAAGTAACTGGTCATGTAATCAATGATATTGTCGAGGGGAAGAAAGTTGGAACTTTCTTCTCGGAGGTAAAACCTGCAGGTGGGTGCGAAGTGATTGTTATAAATTGACCACTTTCTCAACTATTAGTACTGGATCCACTACTGAATTATACATGAAAACAAAGAATATAGATATAGAAAGTAACAAAACTAAAAATAGAAAAACATTTGTTACACTTGATGAGTAACAAAATTGTCACTCTCTCTCAGTAGACATTGCATTTATAACCGTAACTTCAGGCAACAGGAACATTACTGGGGAAAGAAAGACAGATTTGCATTTCCATTATACCTTTCATATCCTCAGGACATCCCAAAGTTAGTGAAGTAAACTTTGGCAATATTTAATGTTCTACTGTTGAAATATACTGTTTGGATGAATATGTCCAGGGCGCTGTCAGAATTCTGCTGCTTTTCAAACAGTGCTTTTTTGATGTTTCTGCCCACCAAAGAATATGGGCAGATTCCTTCAAATGGTTGATCTCTCTAGCACAGCTGTGTTCCCACAGTCCTGCACTGAAGTGTCCAGCAACATAGTCCACTGTCTGAAGTGGGGAGTATTAAATGTCTCTGCTTTCCACCTTGGTTTTTTAATGGTCCATTCCTGTGGTGGTGAATTGACGTGTGTGGTGAACTACTCACTCAGGGGTTATTCTTTGTACATGAGCCTGATCAGTGAGTGCCCACGGACTGCAGTGACAGCCAATGTCTAATAAACAATAATTTGAGTTGGTATCAATTTTTTGCTACTGTATAATACACTGATGTGTTGATACTGGACATAAAATGGTTAATTTACTAATCTTCAGATAGGATTAGTAACCATGATCTCTGATCTCTCTGGTAGGCCCCACTATTGAACAACAAGCAGAAATGGCACGGGCTGATGGACGAGTCATGGCTTCACTACAGCCAGATCAAGTTAGTGATGAATTGAATCCTTTATTTTCCAATCTTTGGCAGGTGTCAAATGTAGAATTTCTGATTTCTAGAAGTTTCATGGTCAATGTCTACTTTTTATAAACCTGTTAATTATGTTAAAATTGTTCCCATCGTGAATTTAGCATTTCCTGTTTATTCTTCATTCTCACCTTTCCATTGTCTCACATCATGTCACAGGTTGAGGCCTGTTGTAGCCTCAGTTTAGTAAAATTTTTTTGGCCAGAAATTGATACTGGTTAAACAAAGAACAGTACAGCACAGGAACAGGTCCTTCAGCCCTCCAAGTCTGTGCTGCCACATTTTGTCCTTCCGTACTACTTCACTTACAGGATCCGTATCCCTCTATTCCATTCCTATTCATGTATTCGTCCAAGTGCTTCTTGAATGCTGCTATTGTGTCCGCTTCCTCCTCCACCTCTGGCAACATGTTCTCGGCACTCACCACCTCCTGTGTGAAAAATTTGTCGTGCACATCTCTTTTAACCATCCCCCTCACACCTTGAACCTGTGTCCCCTAGTAATTGACCCCTCAACACTGGGGGAAAAGCCTCATACATTCCACTCTCTCCATGCTATTCACAATCTTATAAACTTCTTTCAGGTCACCCCTCAACTTCCTGCGTTCCAGTAAAAACTGTCTAGCCAACCTTTCTTCATAACTAAATCCCCCATACCAGGCAACATCCTGATAAACCTTTTCTGTACTGTCCCCAAAGTATCCACATCCTTCTGTTAGTGTGGTCACCAGAACTGTACACAATATTCCAAGGGTGGTCTAACTAAAGTTCTAGAAAGCACAGCATAACTTGTCTATCCTTATACTCAGTGCCCCTTCCAATGAAGGCAAGCATGCCATAAACCTTTTTTACTACCTTCACTACCAGTGCTGCCATTTAGAGTGATCTGCGGACCTGCACACCTAGATTCCTCTACATGTATACTCTTGAGGGTTCTGCCATTCACTGTATAATTTCCACCTGTACTTGACCTTCCAAAATGCATCATGTCACATTTGTCCAGACTGAACTCCATCTACCATTTTTCTGCCCATGCCTCCAACTGATCTATGTCCTGCTGTATCCTCTGACAATCCTCCTCACAATCCGCAGCTCCACCAATCTTTGTATTGTCCACAGACTCCCTTATTGGACCAGCTACGTTTTCCTCCAAATCATTTATGTATATCACGAAAAGCAGAGGTCCCAGCACTGATCCCTGTGGAACACCACTAATCACAGCCCTTCATTCCAAAAAGCATCCTTCTACTGCTATCCTCTGTCTGTCTCCTATGACTAAGCCAGTTCTGTATCCATCTTGCCAGCTCACCCCTGATAGCATGTGAGTTCACCTTTTTGTACCAGTCTGCCATGAGGGACCTTGTCAAAGGCTTTATTGAAGTCCATGTAGATAACATTGACCACTTTTCCCTCATCGCTCATCTTCTTCGTCAACTCCTCAAAAAACTTGATCAAGTTAGTGAGGCATGACCTCCCCCGCACAAAACCGTGCTGTCTATTGCTCATAAGTCCATTTGCTTCTAAATGCATATAGATCTTGTCCCTGAGAATCTTTTCCAATAACTTCCCTACCAAGGACATGAGACTCACAGGCCTATAATTTCCAGGATTATCCCTGCTACGCTTCTTGAACAATGGGACAACATTGGCTATTTTCCAGTCCTCTGGGACCTCACCTGTGGCCAAAGAGGGTACAAAGATGTCTGTGAATGCTCCAGCAATTTTTTCTCTTGCCTCCCTTAATATTCTGGGATAGATCAGATCAGGACCCAAAGACTAATCTACCTTAATACATTTTAAGACCTACAACACCTCTTCCTTTTTACTAGCAACTTGACTTAGAAACTAAACACTCCCTTCCCTGACATCATTGTCCACCAATTCCTTCTCTTTGGTGAATACTGACATAAAGCATTCGTTTAGGACCTCACCTACCTCTTCTGTCTCCACACATAGATTTCCTCCTTTGCCCTTGAGTGGGCCAATCCTTTCCCTGGCTCCCTCCTTGCTTTTTATATATGTATAAACAGCCTTGGGATTATCCTTAATCCTGTTTGCTAACGACTTTCCACAACCCCTTTTAGCCCTTCTAATTCCTTATTTAGGTGCTTTCCTACTTTCCTTATATACTTCAAGGACTTCATCAGTTCCCATCCTCCTAGACGTTGCATATGCTTCCTTCTTCTTTCCAGCCAAGGTCATTTCATGGTTATGGGAGTCAAAGCTAAATTCCTTCAGGGTGTAGAATGAGCACAGGTTTCAGTATGGCACAGATTTGTGCCCCCTCC